CACATGTTAATGATCACCTGTCCAGACTCGAGAGGATAATGAGACCAGAACGAGCTCTGCAGCAGGGCCCTGCTTCTTCTGTCCTCTCCTCCTCGTCTGTCCTTACTGATGATTAGTAGTACTCTGGTGGCCACTAGGAGTTTGGACACCAACGGCTTTCCTCTCTTCGTGGAGCCGCTACTGTTGGCGTTGGTACAGAGATGCTGCAGATTGTGTGGTTGAGTGTTTTTGAGCAGCGTCGGTGGAGTGTTGATCTCCAAACAGCTGTTTACTCATTTAGCGCGAGGCTGGTTTTTCCTTGTGTGTCCTTCAGTCATCTCTCTCTGTCTCACACACACATACACACACACACACCGAACCTCCCAGGTCCTGCTGTGGCCCCTGAAGGACGGTGTCATATTCCTGCACCATGACAGTGCAGCAGTGTCTCCACAGTAGCAGGCTGCATATCCAGTTACACCAGTGTTGTTGCTGAATGGGGCTGTGTGGTACCAGAAGCACCAGAGTCCAGTGTTGTGTTTTCACTGTGGTTCTAGGTTTCTCAAATGTAGCTTTACAGATGTTTGTCTTGTGGTTTGCTTGACTCTAAAATTAGAACAGTTGTGATTCTGAAATGGAGAAACTGTAAATGTTGTGTGTAGTTTTAATGATTGTCAGCAGATACAGATGTTTATGTAAAAGTACATGCGTGTCAGAGGCCCCAGTGAATTATTTACATACATACTGTATGCCTGTGCCTTGTTTGCTTTGTAAAGACACAGAACAGTAAGTCAGGAGTGTGACTGTGTCACAGGCCACAGCCCCGTCTTTACCTCTGCCAACGGGGTTGTGTTTTTGGTTCTGTGTGTGTTGGCTAGCAGGATTATGGACAGACGGCTGGGTGGATCATCAGCCTACTTGGTACAGACATCGGCGGTGACCAACCCTAGAAGTGATTAGACTTGGACTGAAAAAGGTCAAAGGTCACATGGGGGAAAAAAAATCTGAAGAAAATGTCTATTTTAAACCCTGGCACGTTCAGGTGAGATGCACAGTCTAACGGCCTGTCACACCCTTAAGGATGATCCGGAGCCGATCCAGATCACAGGTTTTAGGACACGTTTTGTGTTGTTCCGGGTCTCATGTTTTACGGGGACTCATTTGCGTGAGCGAGTGTTGTGCCTCAGTGGAAACGCGTGCGCTCTCTGAGCGCTCTTGTAATTGCTGTGTGTCTAAGGATAAGAGGCCAGACCTGGCTAGTTACTGAGCTTTATTCACAGGCCCGGCCTGTGAGGTTTTGGCCCGGCTGAGTCTGGTGCAGCCGGTCCAGTCTAGTATGGCTCTGAGCTCCTTGAGGTTGTACATCCTGCCAGCAGGTCCACATGCAGTATAACGAGCAGTACAGATCTGCTCTGTGGTGCAGCAGCGTGCCAGCTGCTGTAGTTCTACACTGACTCTTTCATTCTCTGGCACTTCACCTTGACGTTGGTCAGTACAAATAGCCTGACGAGGGATGTTCCAGCAGGGATTTAAGTTCCTTGCTTGAGGGTACGTTAACATCTGCTGTTCCTCAGTCACTTCCTAACCCCCCACAGTCGCTTCAGTATTGTGATATCATGTATACTACCATCTGAAAGGGTTTGCAAGGTTATCGGCTTGCAGCGGCGCTGGTGCTCAACACCGCAGCCGGATATCAGGCAGTGGCATGTGTCACTTCAGTGCAGCCTTTTACCGCCGCTCTGTTTCCACCTGTGTCGCCTGTGTGGGTCTGTTTGTGTCCTGAGCTCTCTGCGTGTCACTGCCTGCCTGGTTGAATGCCTGTTCTACTTGCTGACTGACTGCTGATGGTAGAGAAAGTGTAACTGACATCTAGTCTGTGTGGGGATAGGTGCTGGGTGCACCATGGGAGTGAGAGATGTGCTGAAAATATACGATTGATAGTCAGATATTCATGGCTCGTGTGTACGTGTCGTCCTATAGTTGTGAGGATATTTTAGCCTGTCTTCACATCTCCAAGGGCCTATGTGAGAATCAGATGTAGGTAAGGGTTGGTGTTTAGTTGTGATGGTTAGGGTTGGTGTAAGGGACGTTACGTCTGTCCTCACCGTTGGCAACAAAAAGGGTGTGTGTGTGTAGAAAAGGAACACATGCTGCTGACATGATTCAGAGAATTCAAGGCAGTTGAGCGGCGACATTGTGCTCAGCCTGGCTCACTCCTACCAGGTGTAGAAAGACACACCCTGACCTGTGTTATCTTGGGTATAGATACAGTGAACATGATCCATGTACTGAGGAATTGGGTGTGGGAATAACTGGTGGATGTATGCACGAACTAGAGTTTGAGTGAGCTATACTGGTATGTACGTGTGTGTTAGTGGGTGGTGGCTGGGGGGGGTTACACGTCGACTCTTTTGTATCTTGAGCACATACCTGTCCAAGGAGTGGTGTGTGTGTGGGACACTGAGAGCAGAAAGAATTGTAAAGATGAATGGCATGGGACTATGTACTGTTAGGTTTTCAGTGTGTGTGTTTTTATGAATGTGTGTTTTCATGTCTGTGTTGATGCTCGTTTAAAGCCACCGCTGTTCCCCTCTCTTCAGCCAGTGATGTCTGATTCTTGACTTTTGACCCAGTTAGAGCACAGCAGCACCACACCTTGTTGTCACAGACCCACGACAGGCATCACAGAGGGCTGGTTCAGGCTCTGATGATACTGAGGGTGTGGAAGTGTAGCAGCTGTATAACGTATGTGTGTTGTGTCAGGTTCTCAGGCTCTGTGTGAGTCTCAGCCTGCTGCTGGTTGTGTGTATGTCACCACCACTCCCAGTGGCCTGCTCAGTGCAGCTGCTCTCTAATGCAGGTCACATTCCTGAACTTGGTTCTTAAATCCAAAACTTCCCGGTTCCCACATGCAGCGTCCCTCCCCCGACCCCACTCTTCTGCGCCTGGGACGCTGGCCTCATTTCACCCAGTGTTTTAATGTTGATCCCTAGTATTTACATTAACAGCACCAGTTACAAATGGTGGTAGACGATTGATCGGTTGGTCACAACACAACACCCCCAGTGTGTGTGTTGCCCTTGAAGACCATCAGTCAGTGGAAAACCCACTGCCTTTCTGTGTGGAGTCTGCATGTTCGCCCTGTGCCTGCATGGGTTCTCTCCAGGTGCTCTGGATTCCTCCCACAGTCCAAAGACATCAGCTTAGTTTGACTGGTGGCTCTAAACTGCCCGTAGGAGTGAGTACGAGTGTGGGTGGTTGTCTGTCTACATGTCGGCCCTGTGACAGACTGGCGACTTGTCCAGGGTGGACCCCGCCTCTCGCCCAGTGTCAGCTGAGTCTTCACACACTGGAGTGTTTTCCAAAGTAAATAAAAAATGTAAGTGTGTTGTTGTTGTTGTTGTTGTTGTTGTTGTGATGGTCACAAAATGGAGGCTGTTTGTCTCCAGTTGACCAGTGTTTCAGTCAGCGACAGTGATGGATGCAGCTTCGCTCTGGCTGCTCGATAAGCTGGAACTTCCTGGCATTGCTTTGCCACTTCCTGTTGCATTGTCCGGTAGGTGTGTGTGGTAGAGGGGGCATTGTCTCTGTCCTCCTCCCCTCCTGCCCCCACTTTGTCTGTTTGTTTATGTTACATGTACGCCCACCCCCGGTCCTCTCAGCGTGTGTCCCAGTCCAGTCCCAGGGACAGAGCTCTATATATAATTGTGTGTGAGGTGGGGGTGGCTTTAAACCGGGCGGTCTGGGGGAGGGTCACAGGGAGACACAGCAGGCTGAAGGAGAGTACAGGGGGCTGAAGGGTGCTATTATCCATGAGACTCAATGGGTGCTTTGTGTCAGTGTCCGCGGCGGGAGGGTGGGGAGAGGGGCAGGGCGGCGAGCAGAGCAGCACCCTGTCATAATGTTTGTGAACACAGTGCAGGAAGAGAGGGAGGAAAGAGGAGGTGCACCGTGAATTGGACTGACCCTCATTCACATCTTTTAGTAATCAGGAGTGGAGCTTTCTACAAAGTTGTTACTGGAATATTCCTGTATCCACTTTGTGTTAGTCTAGTCGAGTCTCTGCTTACAGGCCGAGCTGAATCGGCACTAAATTAAAATGCATTTGAAAGTGCAAATGGCGGCGTCTTATTTGATAAGCTCTTTAGTCTGTTGCAAAAATACAGTTTCCCTGAACCCAAGGCGTCATCCACAAATAAGGTTTGTCTGAGCACAAGGCCAGACCCTGAGATAGTCAGTGGAAGACGTCCCAGCCTCTCCACAGTCCTGTGCCCACCTTAGGGTCACAAGCTCCTGCACAAAACAATGATTTGAACCACATTGCTGAAGAATGTTGGCCAACCACAAGCACAAAGCAGCTATTAATGTGTGATTTGTGCTGCTGTGTTTCTTTCCCAGATGTCTGTGTTTACGATCTGGAACACCGTTCTGATATCTGATTACATGTGAACCAGATGTTGTTCGGTTTCCTCAGATAGTCGCCTGCTTGTGTTGTCTGTCGGGTTTCCAGGGTTCATGACAGTGTTTTTGAGCCTTTGGATGACACAAGCTTCTGATGTGTAGTGTTGTTCTTAACAGGACTGAGGTTGTTGACCGTGGATTCATTTACTGTTTCTGTTCATAACTGAAATGATTGTGTGTAACAGGAACATGAAGAAGAGCACGGAGACAAAAGTGACAAAATGAAGATGGCTGAAATGTTGTGCAAGACAGTGTGTTGTTCATAACTTAAGTTCCGACGACACGTTTTCATCTTTGTAACACACTGCGTATCTTAAATTGTTCTTTGGAATCAGTTCTCATTTCCTAGGTACTGTTTTATAACATTGGTCTCCGCCCCTTTTCTTCTGCTGCTTCCTGTCGTATCAAAGCAGCTCCATGACCTTCCTTCCTGCCCATTGAATTTCATTTTTTATCCCTTTTCTCAAGTCAGTGAGGTTTATTGTCATAAAAGCTGGACAAACATTGAGGTCCAGTCTCTGAATAATCACCATTTGTGTCCTGTTTGTGTTCTCGTGCAGACCTTCACGGCGTGGTGCAACTCCCACCTGCGGAAAGCCGGCACGCAGATCGAAAACATCGAGGAGGACTTCAGGGATGGGCTCAAACTCATGCTGCTCCTGGAGGTCATCTCAGGTAACTCGTCTGTGTGACCTCGGCACGCTGCAGTCTCGGGGACATTGGCTCAGTAGTAGAGCTTTTAGCAGTAACGGTATGAACGGCGGTTTGAAATGTTTCACACAGGAGCCACAGGGAAAGACACGCACTGTGATTTACAGGGAGGCCTCTGAGCTGTCGGCCAAAATGTTTTCAGATGTTAAGGATGCACCAGGTCTCTGTCCACTCCTGGGTGTGGTCACTCATAGTTTCCTACCCCAGTATGGATCACCCTGTTTCAGATGTGACCGTGTTGCTCTCCAGGGTTCTTGTGTAAGTGCAGGTTGTGGCAGGGAAACTGTTCCTGATGGATTCATAACCAAATTTGGACTCTAATACAGCTTCCTCTTCAGCTTTTACTCCAGGTGTTAAAGGCCCTAACATCACTGATCAGTGCTGATCGGCTGGAAACACACTTTCTTCCTGTCACCCCAGGAACAAACGCACCTCACGCTGTTTGTTCCCATGTGTCTGTATCTGCAGGTGAGCGGTTACCCAAGCCTGAGCGAGGCAAGATGAGGGTCCACAAGATCAACAATGTGAACAAAGCGCTGGACTTCATTGCCAGCAAGGGAGTGAAGCTGGTCTCTATTGGAGCAGAGGGTAAGCAAGCACACACATGTAAATATTACACCAAACACCTCAGTCTGGTGCACTGAAGTATCAGGAGGGGACTTTGAAACGCACAAAGTGACTTAACTCCTCACACATACTGGAGACCGTCTCATTAAGCCACCCTATGTTTGGGTCAAGACAAAACAGTGTGACCTTTATTATGGAATTACACAGCTGTTCAAGCACAAAACAAACAAAAGGGCACAGTGCAAAGGTGCAACAGTACAGGTGTCTAGGCTTTGTGTCGTGGTTATATGTGTACTTTATTTTGCACATCAGAGCAGTAAGACGCCTCCCTCTCGGCCCGAAACGTCAGTCATCACATTCAACAATCACTCGAACTTGTTCCGTGTTGCTAGCGTTGTCATGTACGCATGCTGTGACTTTACCACTAAGTTAGCGGTCCATAGTTTATCCTGTCGGGACCGTTTTCTTGATGGGGCCGTACGCTCCAGCTGAACAATCAGTTACTATCAAACTTTGAAAACCTTCCCCTTAGACGAAGCTGGCGGGTGTCATGTTGTTTGCTCTGCACATCAATCGTCAAACTTCCTTCTTAGGGTGACAAATCTAGCCACCGACTGTTGATCTGTGGACCACAACCCACCTTCTCCTGGGTGCCTTGGCTTCAGAATGGCCACAGAACCTTTTGGTGGCTGTAGTCTCTCGATGTCTCTGCTGTTTGCATTCAAATCACATGCTGACCTTGTTATCACATTATTTCAAGGTGCCGGAAAAACCAAGAGGAAACTGTGGCTCTTTGTTTTTAAAGACAAAACGTCCTCTGAATTGCTCAAAATACTGCGATCCTACACACACACACACACACACACTGGACAATGTGACCTCACACACACATGCTTTCTGGCCTTCTCCAAAAGCAGCCCACTTAAGGTCATCTACTGGAAACAGGCAGAAAAGTGCCTTTGTTGAAGATAGTGGAGGGAGATGTCTCGCATTTCCCTGTCAGACAGTTTAATCCAGCGCGTTCTGGCTCCCTAACCTCAGTTTGGTCCTCCTGAACCTCCTTAGGTCACTCCTAAGCATGTCTGTAGGTAGTTAAAGCACAAGGTGGATGTGAGGCCATGAGGGTAGAACCACATGCTAACTCCCAGATCAGAAAGGAGTTATCTTTCATTAGAATTTAGAAAAATGCACCGTGATGCATTGAGGCATAAGTAGAAATGAATCAAGCAGAAGAGAAGCCTGAGTGACAGAGGGATGTCAGACGTGACATGAAGAATGTTCACTGGAATGAAAGCGATGTCGGACGAGTGTGTAACCGAGAAAGCAGGTGTGAGTATGAGAGCGCTGATAGCCTCGGTGTGTTTGAACTATGACTGGAATCTGACCCAGACTTCATGCCTGCTCACCAGCATATCGCTGTGTGATTTATTGTCCCGTTGGTTCGTCTGCCAGGTATGCGGGGATTCATGGTGAGAAAAGAGGGGTAATAATATTTGAAAGCTCTCGGGTTTTGTTTTGCCAGGCTGTAAACCTTTTCTGTGTACTAATGAGTTTGTTCATGTCATCAACTGAAGTGCTGCGCAAAACAGATGCTGTATTCACTACACACACCTACACAAGTCAGTCCACACAGCATAGAAACGTACTGAACAAAGTAATTTGTCCTTTTCAGATGATTAAAAAGGGACGAGTCTCCTCTGTACAGCCGATGAAACAATGCTCAGCTCGGAGCGGGCCTGCATTACACAGCTACCAATAATTAATTTATTTATGAAAGAAATCATTGTTAAAACATCACACTTTTCCAGAGATTTGGCAGTAGTGGGACATTAAGTGTAGCTGTGTGGGTGTGTTGGCATTGTTACTGTAACTGAAGAGCAAATGCAAACAGCAGCGATAGACACGATTTACGATCCAGAGTGACTCAACGAAAAACGGTGATTGACTGAGGTGACTTTTGTTTTGTGTTGTGCAGAAATCGTGGATGGAAATGCCAAGATGACCCTGGGAATGATCTGGACCATCATCCTGCGCTTTGCCATCCAGGACATCTCTGTAGAAGGTACAGCTGACTGCAAACTGGAAAACCTAGACACACACACACACACACAAGTGCTGAAATGCAGCCAAGGTAAAATGGCTCTGGTCTAGTTGACTGCCCACTGACTGTAACGTGAAACCACTCACTGCTGGCAGCACCAACATAATATTTTTATTACTACCTGATAACTGACACTTTTACACAGAACATTTTAAAACTAGATCTCAAATTACCAATTATTTTTATTATCAAATATCTCAACGGTTTAGTCTGCAAGATGCTGCACATCACGTGTTCCCAGAGTCCAAAGTGACGACTTCAAATCACTTTTCCTGACTAATAGCCCAAAACCTGACGACACCGAACTGACACTGAGATCAAGAACAGAAACGTCATCGTTCTCCGGTGATGAACCAGTGAACAGATCTTTCCAGCAGGTTGAAGACACTGATGGGCGCCTGTGTTTCACCACTTCCAGTTTCCAGAGTGTTTCCGGTTGTTGTTGCTCATCACTGATAAAACAGAATCGTGTCCTCACTTAGAGCTTTAATGGCTCTGTGGTGGCTAATTAAACCTGTGCGTGCTGGTTGTGGACCGCTGTGTGATTTCTGAGTCGTATGTTTTGTTAGTGACTGATTGTTCGGGCACATGAAGTAAACAAAAACATCCTCGGTGTTTTCTGTCTGCTGCTGGGTGTATTTAGCACACTTGTAAACAGGCGCTGCAGTGTCCCCGTGAAGGGAGTCAAACAGTTCAAGTATGTGACTGGATGTCGCGAGGAGACGTTTGTTCGCTGTGTGCAGACTGACGCAGACCTCCTCTGTCCTCCCCCTCTCATTCTTCCCTGTAGAGACCTCTGCCAAGGAGGGTCTGCTGCTGTGGTGCCAGAGGAAGACTGCGCCCTACAAGAACGTCAACGTGCAGAACTTCCACATTAGGTACCACACACACACACACACACACACACACACACACACACACTCTCGTGGACTGACCAGCCTTAGTTTTTATCAGGAGACAGTGTTATTCTTGGATGGAAGCTGGTTTCTGAAAGGGCTTCACGTCCTCATGGGACAGATGAACTCTCCAGTGAAACCCTGAAAATATGCAGCTGTGGTTTGTGAGGAACTTGGTTGGATGACCCCATGTTTATAAAAAACACTGGTACTGGGATCTATTACACACACACAAACAGATTTACAGATTTAACTGCAAACACAGGCATTGTGTTGTGGAGAAACATGAGCACACCCGGTGTGTGAGAATATAAATTTATATGTTGATTGATTTGGGTGTTGCTGAATGAAATAATAGGTTTCTTTCAATCGTCACCTTAATTTACCATGAAATAAACATCTGTAAACTACTTGGTAGCAGCCTGTCTAATGTTTCTGAGCTGAAAGTACAAGTGCAGCATTTGAAAACTAAACAGGATTCACAAACTGTCTGTATATTATACAGTGACTTGTTACACAGTGCATGTCCATGTTTAGATGTACTGTCTACAGCACATACTCGATGCTCAACACATGTTCTTTCCAACAGCTGGAAGGACGGTCTCGCCTTCAATGCTCTGATCCACAGACACAGACCTGATCTCATCAATTACGACAGCCTCAGGAAGGTAGATGGATTCATCTTTACTGCTGGTCTCAGATATTACACGTCGTATCTTCAGCTCAAGTGCAGTCCAGCTCCAGATGTTTAGTCACTATTTTTTGGTGTAAACTAGCAGTTAGATTTTAAGTTACCAGTAATTAAAAACACTGAAATTGAAAATAATAACAAACTAAACCTAAACAAGGCTAATTTTAATTGGCAAGCTTCTGACAGTGTGATTGGTTGTTTAGGATGACCCATTGACCAACCTGAACAACGCCTTCGAGGTGGCCGAGAAGCACCTGGACATCCCCAAGATGTTGGACGCAGAAGGTACAGTAGGCCAGAGATGTACTGAGAAACAGCTGTGTAATGCTGCTGTGCTACTCTGTGTGTCGTTTGCCGTATGAGAACTGTTTACATGTAAACAACAACGTGGTTTGAATGTCCCAGTGCTTTCTGACGTGGACAGACTGTAATGCAGTTTTCTGACTACTCGCCTTTATAGCGGCTCCTGAAAAGCACCTAAAATGTGTCTGACATTGTCGGACCAAACTAAACTCCAGCTGAAATTGCAGCGCCTGTAACTTAAACTGCAACGAGACAAGTTGAACAGGAAGTCGGCTTCAGCAGAGATGGATAACTGCTCAGATGTGTGTAAATGTCAGAGCAGCTACTGTGTCTGTGGCCACACAGTCACGGTAAAGCCTTTTTCCCACCGCCGGGTACCAGCTCGACTCGACTCGACTCTCCTTATTTGTTTTTCCAGCAGTCTGATGTTGGGGATAGTACCTGGTACTGTTTTTGGTGTTGCCTCCTTCCAGGTGAGCTGAGGCAACACCAAACGGTGACGTGTAAACACTGCAGACTAGCGATTGGTCAGAGAAATTTGTCGCTCTTACCTGGCCATCCTCCCTTCGATGAACCCGGGGGTTTGCGTGTGACAACGCCAGTCGCCCGTTCTTCATTCAGTCATAATAGTAGCTGCCACTTCTCTCCCACGAGTGTTATGCAGGACAACATTTGTGATGACAGTTACCATACAATCGTTACATTACGTGAACCACCATGTGGTACATCTTTTCACAGAGTCCAGAGGTTACTGAGTGTGATCATACGAGCTATGTCTGCTCAGTAGAGCTAGCTAGCTGGCACGCTGACGCGTCATCACGTCACCAGAAGTGTTGGAACAAGTTTCTGGCATTGCTTGGAAAGATTAACAATGTAAGCTAGACAGTTATTTTCTCACCTGAACAAAGTGTCTACTGGCATAATATCAGTCCTAAGATGAAAATTCGCAGCACTCTCGTGCGGTGTCGCTGTGGCAACCGGCTACGCTGAGGGGGGGGGCTGATACCAGGCGGTGGAAAAGACAGTTAAGACCTGACTGAATGTAATTATTGTCTCACTAACGTTGGTCATTGTGCTGATGTGCATGTAATGTGTCCACTGTTGTACCTGTTAATGTATCTGAGCTGCTCCCTCAGGATCGATGGAGTCTCTGCGTCGTCCCTTCATTTCCCTGCTCCTCCTCCTCTGTCCCTCTGGGTTGTACGGCACATGTAACCGTCTGAATATGTCTGACTGGCTTTATCTGTGTGCATGAGGTGTGGGTCGATGTGAGCCGTGTGTATGAGTCCTGTTGTTTATAATCATGTGTCTTCATAACCATGGTCTCCCCCCTTGTAGACATTGTGAACACTGCTCGTCCAGATGAGAAAGCCATAATGACTTATGTGTCCAGTTTCTACCATGCCTTCTCTGGAGCACAGAAGGTACCCCTGACTCCTCGAGCTTGACCTTTAACCCCCTGTTACTAACAAGGTGCTGCTTCCTTTCCAGCATGGCCTCACTCTCTTGGCAGCGCTGCTACATCCTGGGATACTGGATTTGTTGGGACACAAACACACATACAGACACACACAAAAGGGCGAGTGTAGCCGTGCTGGTGAAAGGCGTAAATATTCGCCCTCTGTGGTATCGTGACCCACAGCAGAAATGAAAATGCATCGGATCTTGTTTTTAATGCTGTCGACTTAGCCATGAAAATTCAAGTAGAGATTTTATTGGATTAAGCACAGTGTTTGTACAGGATGTGTGTTTTCAGTAGAATTCCTGTGCAGTTCAGGTGAATGCAGTATGAGCAGCAGTGTTCAGAGGTTGTGCTTTTCATTCCAGCAAATGTGTTGTGCTATTATTGTTAGTGTTTTACATAAGAAGTTCACTTTGTAATATTAGCAAAACGGTGCAAACAAGGTGGTGAAGCCACAGCGTTAAAGGTGGGCGCCCTCCTTTTCAAAGAAGTAGCTCTCAGGGTTTTCAGAGTCTGACCCCTGAAAATGAAGCGGTGGCCCCTCATCACCAGTTTGACATATCAAAATGTTGACCTGCTCAACCAAAAAGACTTTTTAAACCTTGTTTTGTTTGATGAATTTTAGAAGAGGTCAATTTAGTAATTCACAAGAATGAGAGCAGAGCGTGATGAAGGCAGGCTCTGTGATTTCACATGGAGTGAACCACTTTTTATCTGTATATAAAATATCACAAATTTGCCTCAAGGGGCTTCAAAGTTTGACCTGCATTTGTCCTTAGACCCTTGAATCAATTGAAACCAATGGAAGAAACCTGAGGAGGGATCCCTCGACCGGGATGGACAGGAAATAGATGGAGTAAAATTATTATTAATCATTATTATTATTAAACGTATTGTTATTAACCGCCTCTGTGAGCTGAGATTCATTCAACCTTCTCCTGTGGTTCCCTTGTCGACGCCCCCGACAGGAAGCTAGTTGATGCGTGTCTTGTTTTTCTCCTGTAATTAATTTTCTGGATCATTCAGAACTTGTTTGTTTTTCTCCGCCAGTCTCAGGAGGTGTGTGTGTGTGTGTGTGTGTGCATATTTATGTTTTCAGTAATGTGTGTGTGTGACAGTGAGACAGATCTGGGCATGAGCGCAGTGGTGTGGAATTTGTGTAAACCTTTTCTTGAATTATTTCCATGGTACAAGTCACAACGCAGGAAGCCAGTGCAGAGTTTGCATCATTAGAAACAAACTCCTAAATCTCCATGTTTACTGTTTACCTACATCACGCACATTGCACTGGATCCAGTTTGTGTAAATCATCAGTGGAGAGTTCGGTCAACAGCTGGTGGTGTATTTGAGACCGGTGCGCGACACATGCACTGAGCTCCTGAGACAGCTCTGTCCAACACCAGCTCCTTTTGTGAGAAGTAAAAAACAGTTTATTCAAATTCAAAGTAAACATTTTAGCACTTGCTGCAGGTTTTTACCCATTGTTGTTAAAACGCCTGAAGAATCAGCTGAATGTCTGCAGCAGTTATCATGCTAGGAGTTTCAGACGAGCTGGAACTCGTTATCCTTTTTATTTTCCTTTTACTCCTTTGGTCTGTAAAATGCCAAGAGGTAGTGAAAGATGCCAAAGAGGATTTTCCCAAATTAACAAGTGGTGCCAAAGAACCCCTTTATTTTTGGGACACTTGCGACTAACAAACAAACTGTGTTGCAGTTCTCACTGGGGGACAGAGACGTGTCGTTTCAGGCCTCAGTGCAGTTGTTTCATGCTGCCCGACATTAGTGGTAATGAACCCAGCTGAAGAACCAGCCTGAATTCATCAGAGTTTGAATTCATCTGACACACACTCTACACTCTGCGAACCGGGCTTAGTAGTTTGTGTGTGCGTTTGTGTCCCAGTCGTGGCCCCAGCGGCCCTCACTTCCCTTCAGCAGGCCCCCCCACCCACCCCCCACTGACGTCAGCGTGGGGGGTGGGTGCTGCTAACAGGAGGAACTCGAAGCTGTGGATCTGAAGAGGGAGCCGCTCTCCTCAGACAACTTCCTAAGTGCCTTTGCTCTTCCCTTATGTTGGGAGTAAGGACTGTGTGGCTTTGGGTAGCTTTGGCTTCACTCTCTCTCTCTCTCTCTCTCTCTCTTTGTTTACCTTCCCCTGCCGATCTGTTTCTGCCTGCTGGGTGGTGCGTAGACATCGTGGGCACGCTGAAGCCTGATGAGACCTGTGTATCCTGCTTCTGTCATGCCTTCTCTGGCGCACAGAAGGTGAGCTCCTCATGCTTCAGACACACAGTAACACTTCACCGCAGCAACAAAAACCCACCAGGGTTCTCATCTGTCATGATGTCGAGTTTTAAGTGTTTATTCCATGTGATGAGAGCTGTCCTACTGTGCTCGTACTGGATCTGCTCCGGGTGTTTCTGGTGTCAAATTGCTCTGGAGTTTCCACTGGGATCCTCTGTAGCCTTGACTGGCTACTGGATGTCTCAGCTGGACGACTGAAGACGTGTGAAGTGCATTGGTATTAAATCCAGAACACCTGTACATACAGCAGAGCAGAAAATGGTGTGAAAGTTCATTCTGCTGATTTGGTTTTGGGAACCCAGAGCTGGTTGGTTTGTGGGAAACACTGGTCTCGCCAGTTTCTCTTCAGCTATTAACCCTTCTCAACTCAAAATGTTTCTTACTATGACTTGTATATGTGGGACATGCTAGTTTTTATCCATTTAAACTGAAAAACAAACAGGTTAGCCATGTCTGGTAGAACAAGTGAGGGTTTTTGAACACAATCTGTCGACTTCACTCAGATTGTCAAAGTCTGTGTGCTGTTTTTCTGTATTCCAGTGGTACAGTAGTGTAAGGTCCTAGACAGACCTACTGGCATGGACTGCAGCGCTACATGAACCTGTAACTAGATGTTTGGACTGAATCCTGAGTTGTGCCAGGAGACGCATGGACGTTGAAAACACACAGATTGATTTGTGCACATTAACCATGAACAACAGGAGCATGATTTTATAAGTCAAATGTGATGAGAACTTCTCAAACAGTGCCTTGTGTTTAGATTCATTCCAGTTCACTGCCTGTGTGTGGAGTGCTGAGCTCTTCATTATGATCACAGTGGTAATGACAGCCCAGGCTGAAGTACTAATAAGGTAGTCTAGTGACTTTACTGTGCACCTCCCTGTTCCCGCTAAGTGGACTTGGAGTGTTTCATCCAGTCACTGTGAGCGCTACTCATCACTCTGTTTGCTGATAGGCTGAGACGGCCGCTAATCGGATCTGCAAAGTGCTGGCCGTCAACCAGGAGAACGAGAAGATGGAGGAGGACTACGCGAGACTGGCCAGTGATGTGAGTACAAAACATCCAGACACTGCAGCAGATTCATACCAGGTTCTGATTCGACAGCTTCACTTTGGATGGTTGCACGTGTTTATTTACCTGACTTTAGGTTACGTAAGCACCGCTGGTCAAAAGTGTTGGATCACCTCCATTTGTCCAGTTGTTTTCAGTGTGATCCACTGCTTACATGTCAATAAAATCTGGAAAAATGGGAGTGATCTAAAACTTTACACGTTCTACACTGGTCACATTGTTTACTTTCAAGACTTGGTGGAAAAAAAAAAAAACTTGAGAAAGTGTCAAACCCTCGTTCTAAGTTTCCCCTGGCTGACGGCTTGGGTGTTATTTCCTGACTGTTTTCTTCTGCCTCCAGTTGCTGGAGTGGATTCGTCGAACCATCCCCTGGCTGGAGGACCGGACCCAGCAGAGGACCATAAATGATATGCAGGCGAAACAGGAAGACTTCAGGGACTACCGCTGCGTCCACAAACCACCCAAGGTTTAGATTAACTTCTACAGCGCTCTCTGCTGCCAGAAATGTGCAGGCCAATGTGTGGGAATAGTTTTGCCACACTGGTTAAGTTGTTTGCCCTCAGCTTGGTGTAGACCTGTGTCCTGGCTGTGTATTCAGTGCCCCCGGCGGCCCTCACTCCCCTTCAGCAGGACCCCCCACCCACCCCCCACTGACGTCAGCGTGGGGGGTGGGTGCTGCTAACAGGAGGAACTCGAAGCTGTGGATCTGAAGAGGGAGCCGCTCTCCTCAGACAACTTCCTAAGTGCCTTTGCTCTTCCCTTATGTTGGGAGTAAGGACTGTGTGGCTTTGGGTAGCTTTGGCTTCACTCTCTCTCTCTCTCTCTTTGTTTACCTTCCCCTGTCGATCTGTTTCTGCCTGCTGGGTGGTGCGTAGACATCGTGGGCACGCTGAGGCCTGATGAGAAGGCCATAATGACCTATGTATCCTGCTTCTATCATGCCTTCTCTGGCGCACAGAAGGTGAGCTCCTCATGCTTCAGACACACAGTAACACTTCACCGCAGCAACAAAAACCCACCAGGGTTCTCATCTGTCATGATGTCGAGTTTTAAGTGTTTATTCCAGACAGTGAAAAGGCAGGGAGCAGTTTAGTAAAGATCAGTAAATATCAAGAAATGGGTCAAATCACAGGAACGTTTCTAGTTCAGCTGCTTTTTATTTGTCCACATTGGATCCAGTTGTGGGATAAATCGGATTCTCTGACCTGTTACAGTTTCAGAGAAAAGTCAGGAAGTATTTCCAGATTAGAATCAAGATGGGAACTCTGAAAATCGACTAAAAGCAACAAACGCTTCCTGGTGCTTCTGTTTTGGCGCTTTGGACTTTGACCGTGTTTCCCCAAAAGTGATTTCACTTTATGTTCCTGACTTAGATTCCCAAACCCATGTTAGCACTGTGATCTGTGCTCTGTGATGAGAGCTGTCCTACTGTGCTCGTACTGGATCTGCTCCGGGTGTTTCTGGTGTCAAATTGCTCTGGAGTTTCCACTGGGATCCTCTGTAGCCTTGACTGGCTACTGGATGTCTCAGCTGGACGACTGAAGACGTGTGAAGTGCATTGGTATTAAATCCAGAACACCTGTACATACAGCAGAGCAGAAAATGGTGTGAAAGTTCATTCTGCTGATTTGGTTTTGGGAACCCAGAGCTGGTTGGTTTGTGGGAAACACTGGTCTCGCCAGTTTCTCTTCAGCTATTAACCCTTCTCAACTCAAAATGTTTCTTACTATGACTTGTATATGTGGGACATGCTAGTTTTTATCCATTTAAACTGAAAAACAAACAGGTTAGCCATGTCTGGTAGAACAAGTGAGGGTTTTTGAACACAATCTGTCGACTTCACTCAGATTGTCAAAGTCTGTGTGCTGTTTTTCTGTATTCCAGTGGTACAGTAGTGTAAGGTCCTAGACAGACCTACTGGCGTGGACTGCAGCGCTACATGAACCTGTAACTAGATGTTTGGACTGAATCCTGAGTTGTGCCAGGAGACGCATGGACGTTGAAAACACACAGATTGATTTGTGCACATTAGACTAACCATGAACAACAGGAGCATGATTTTATAAGTCAAATGTGATGAGAGCTTCTCAAACAGTGTCTGCCTGACCTTGTGTTTAGCTTCATTCCAGTTCACTGCCTGTGTGTGGAGTGCTGAGCTCTTCATTATGATCACAGTGGTAATGACAGCCCAGGCTGAAGTACTAATAAGGTAGTCTAGTGACTTTACTGTGCACCTCCCTGTTCCCGCTAAGTGGACTTGGAGTGTTTCATCCAGTCACTGTGAGCGCTACTCATCACTCTGTTTGCTGATAGGCTGAGACGGCCGCTAATCGGATCTGCAAAGTGCTGGCCGTCAACCAGGAGAACGAGAAGATGGAGGAGGACTACGCGAGACTGGCCAGTGATGTGAGTACAAAACATCCAGACACTGCAGCAGATTCATACCAGGTTCTGATTCGACAGCTTCACTTTGGATGGTTGCACGTGTTTATTTACCTGACTTTAGGTTACGTAAGCACCGCTGGTCAAAAGTGTTGGATCACCTCCATTTGTCCAGTTGTTTTCAGTGTGATCCACTGCTTACATGTCAATAAAATCTGGAAAAATGGGAGTGATCTAAAACTTTACACGTTCTACACTGGTCACATTGTTTACTTTCAAGACTTGGTGGAAAAAAAAAAAAACTTGAGAAAGTGTCAAACCCTCGTTCTAAGTTTCCCCTGGCTGACGGCTTGGGTGTTATTTCCTGACTGTTTTCTTCTGCCTCCAGTTGCTGGAGTGGATTCGTCGAACCATCCCCTGGCTGGAGGACCGGACCCAGCAGAGGACCATAAATGATATGCAGGCGAAACAGGAAGACTTCAGGGACTACCGCTGCGTCCACAAACCACCCAAGGTTTAGATTAACTTCTACAGCGCTCTCTGCTGCCAGAAATGTGCAGGCCAATGTGTGGGAATAGTTTTGCCACACTGGTTAAGTTGTTTGCCCTCAGCTTGGTGTAGACCTGTGTCCTGGCTGTGTATTCAGTGCTTTTATTTACACTTGTTTTATTTTCGTTCCTTCTGCTGAACCTGTTCACAAACTCTGTCCAC